TCATAGTGTTACATGTCTCTGAAATAAAGTGTTACAATGCAGAATGTGTGTGCCTGTCTTTGAGATATTGGCTCTCAGGTCTCATTAACATCAGTTTATGGATGCCATAAACCTAAACTTTAATTAATTGTCGAAAATATCTCATACCAAGCTCTTATAGGAGTGAAGGTACCCTTGAGTTTAACCAGGAGTTTTCTACCTTGTATATCGGACATTCCAGAGAACTTACCGATGGTGAATATTCTCTGAGACATCCCCTCCTTGGCATGGCCTGGACAGCATTGCAGCGATAACAAATTCCCTGTCAATCAATCATATTTTTCCAAAAAATATAAATATATACTAAACCACATGTATGCTTGACATAAAAGTAACATTGCTTGATCGAGTTATCAAAAAGTTAATAACTTTACTTATTAATTCCAACTTGATTGTAGAGTGTACCAGCAAATTGGTGGCAAAAAATTTGTTTTTATTAAATGTTTTTTTTTGATATGTAATGGTTCTTAAACCGGTACAACAGATTCATTGATTATTCATTGATAACCTTTCATAGACCTAATGCAACGCAGTTTTATTACTGTCAATCTACTTTACTTGGTGCAAATGTACTCCTGTTGATGATGTAATTGGCAGTGGTCACGACCACTGTCATCATTATTGACATCACCATGGCAACCTTTTCATCATTATCATCATAGTCTTTCTCTACTTACATTACTAAATTTTTTGCCATTGCAGTATCTTGGAAGCAAAGGTTCAATATCATCAGGGATAAGAAGCTTATCAATCACATGAAGAACCCCGTCACTAGTGAGTACATTAGTCTCGGTAACAAAGGAAGCCTCATCCACAACAATCTGACCCTGAAAATTAAAGGAGAGAAGGTTCTCAAAAATGATGTATTCATTGTTTTATTAGGAAAATTAGAGACCAACAGTAAACAGCCTGGGCATGTTGTTCAGTATACAATTTCACACCATTTATCTACGGTAGTAGCATTGTGGATTGGAAATCTTGGGCTGTGAGACTAGCTGTTGCAGCCCACAAGCCAGTGATAAAATTCTGAATGAACAGCCCAGTTCCCCAAAAAGGAGTGATTTCTGGGGGTCAGTGATGGTGATCTAGTACTGTCATATGAAAATTTGACGTCACTGTCATTTCACAATTAAAAATTATTATAATACTGAGCTGCAGGGCTGGTTTACTTAGAAGCGTAACAAGGCCTGTGTCAGTCAATAAGGGTCTTAATCATTTTGTCATTTCTTAGTCTTGATTACATTTCACATAGCTGGAACATACACACTTTAACTACACAAGCACTTCAGGAACTGATTACATGTGTTCAGCAGGGCCATTTAATCATAAGTCTTTTAACCAACAAATAAGTATTAGATACTGATGGCCTTTTAAGCTAGCATCAAGCCAAATTTCTAATAGAATTATGATAAAGGAGAGGGACATAACTTAATTTATTAGTTAAAGAACTCAGTAAACTAAGCAATCAACACTACTTCTTACAGTGGAAGTAGGTTGGACAGTTAATGACTCTCCCTCCACAGATATAACTTTGCCTCTGTATATCAGGTCTAAAACTGCAATCTGAAAGTGAAACAAACATGGTACAAATTATGAGTACACAAGAAGAAACCAGTTGGTTAATAGCAATCATATCCAATTTGTGGCTACTTCTGTCACTGATATCTACCTGGACTGAGAGGAATGTTTGAATAATTCTTGTGTTATTAATGGTTGTACAGTCCAGCTTCAACTAATGGAACTTTTCCATAATCACCACATGCACTTCTTGACAACGGCCATGATGTTTCATTCGATTGAACCATACGCCTATACCTTGTACTCTATTTGAAAACTTCTTCCTGATCAATGGCCACCTCTACAATGGCCAGGGTAACTTTATATTGTTATTTTACATTCCGAGGCAAGATATTTAATTCAAAATACTTATTCAGAAGAGTCATTGATGACATAGCATCTTGAACAATAATTTATTTTACAGCAGATTGGTCAAAGGGCTCAGAGCAACTTCACTTTTAAATTTAACTCTCATTAATATGGCTCAGTCAACTACTTTGACAAACATTCTTACAAACTGGTCAAACATTTGTGTCGTTTATCCAGCAAGAAGTTTTTAAGTTAATAATAACCTTCCAAGGTCTACCATTGACCTCATTCCTTTTTGTACTGCCATGGCAACAGAAAGGCAACATGTTTCTTTTTACATTCAGCTGTGCAATAATGAGTGCCTCACTACAACAAACCTTTCCAGTAAGGATGTGGTTCCTTAAGAGTGACTTCATCTTTCTCCTTCCCTGTTAGCAACAAACAAATATATGTAAGACATGAAGGAATATTACCATAACACAATTTAAAAACAAACAGAGATGCTAATTAATTAGGGCTATCAAATTGAGGCAGAGGGACGGTGGCCATGTTTTGTGTACCAGACCTTAGATTAGATCAACAGGTCCAGGTTTGAGCCTAGATGGAGTCTTCGTTATGTGCTCCTTAGCAAAGTCCTCAACTCTCATGAATAGTGCCTCTGAAGTTGCACAGAGGAGTATAAATATGTATTAACTTGGCCAAGTTATTTGAATTCACTGATTGATACACATGCAATCAACACAGAAGCCTAAAGACTTCAAGCATCACTGGAACAACACAGGTGAAGTGAGAAAACCAATAGGAAAGTCACTGATGGTCTTGATAAAATTATCTCTTAAGCTATATATAGGAATTATTTCCTTTATTCTTTCCATTGCCTAAAATAAGGACACAAAAGGATTTCTTAATATTTTCTATTTTCTTTCCTTTACCTAATGACAAAGAATGATTTGCCCTTACTTCTCAGCCCCACAACTGTTAGTAACCTTTATTTATCCATACCTCGTCTGTAGTGGTCAAGAATCTCATGGTACTGTTGTCAATCTTATCAAAAGCTGAATTAACTGGCACCAAAATGGTGTAAGAAGCACCCAAAGCATTCAACTCTGCGGCAATTCCAGAAGACTAGAAACAAAATAGCAGACAGATACATTAGGCTTTGCGCATCACAATACGTTTCAGATCAAAGATCTCCCTTGAACATTATATTTTTTCCCATCTTACAAGTGCAAAACTGTGATTAAATCACAAAATGGTCTGGAGAAAATTTCTATCTAAAGGGTGTAACATTTTCCACTTGACCAATGCCAAAAAAGTCACAAACAATAGAACAAAATATTAGCTAAACTTATACCTCATTTTCTTTGAACTAAACTTGACTGAGAGTTCTCAAAAGTGCGACAAACAACAAAGACTGACTCTTGCATCACCCTTATTATTTACCTGTAGAAGTGATTCAAAGATTGTAAATCTGCTCTGTTCCAAAAGAACTTGAAGAGATGAGTTCTGGAAGGGAATAAAACAGATACCCACAAACGAAATATACTTCAGAGTGAGAAGCAGGACATCTTTTACTTGAATTATTATTTTTAATTGAATTGCCTAAAGTACACTTACAATATACACACATGCGATTTTCTTATTTTTACAATAACAATTTTCAGTTACAGTACAATACTGAAAAATTATGTTTATTGCATGCATGCAGCTTTATCTCAGTCTGTAGCTTTACAAGGTATTTCCTGGTTGTCATTGGTTTTAACTTACTGAGCTTGTTTCTTGGTAGTCTCCAACATGCCACATTATTTTATCAATCACATGTATTATACCATTGCCAGCCAACAAATCGCGAAAGAGTGCCGACGCATTCACTGGCTGCCCATCTAGTTTGAAATACATGATGTTCTGTATGCAAAAATTACAGAAACATGGTCAGAGCTAACAAATAACAACTCATAAGCTCTGATGTACCAATAAATCTGAGTCATAATAATTCATATAATTATATTAATTATCTATATAATTTTTTGCATAGAATTCATTGCGACTGTATTCTTATGCTTATTGTTAACCTAGCATTATGTCAGTTAACTGTTGTGCCTGGGCTACTGTGACTTTAAACTCTGAAGGTACAGAATCTGATCTCATCACTTTAAAGGTATTACTTCTTCAACTTTTTAAAAAGAAAATAAGGCTCACTTCATGAAAAATGGTTTTAGACAATTTGATGTGATGGACATCAGAAACTAGCCAAGATTGGTTTTCAAAACTTTTTAATGCAAGAAGATTTTCACTCTTATGGAAGTAAACTAAACTCCACAAATGCCCACTGTCTATAGATAAAGCAGGCGGGTTTTTCATCTTGGCCATGTGTAAAAACATGCACTTAACTCAAGGCCACCTCTCTCTTCATTGCCAATTCATTGGCCCCCTGAGGGTAGCCATTGAAAAAGTGGTACCACTGTGGTTATTATAACAATAATCAATTGACAATTATATGACAATGTGAACCATGATACTCGAACCTGGTACTCTGAGATGCTTGCACTGATTCCCTGAAGTGTGTAGACGTTTCCATACTTTTTCAATTGGGTTGAATCTAAATCAGCAGCTATCAGATGTCGACTGACAAAATGTGAGGCCATGTCTATATTACCTGACAACTCACTCAGCTGAATGGGAAGAAAAACACAAGGATTCTCCCAGTCAGATATATATGTTTCTCCTATCAATACAATTTAACTCAAAGGTGCTGGTAAATGCTAAGATATATGGGAGCATGTTTACAAATAAACACTCACACAGCAGACAACAACAAATTATTTAGTTGAAATCAAGAGAAAAGATCATAGCCATATATATTAAATATAATTGAACATAGTTAACTATGAGGAGCAAGAAACATTTGTTGGCGTTTGTTGGTGTTTGTTGGTCACGACAGTTTGTTGGCATTTGTAGGCATTTGTAAGTGTTTTATACAGTTTTCTTGCCATCAGTGGTTAGCGTTTAAAGCATCTTTCAGCACTTGGGGCTTCCAGGCATGTCTCGGTATGTATTCCTGTGGCCCTTGTTAGTGGCCCTTCTGGGTCCCTTCCACCACTGAATAGTCAGCAGTTTCGGTTCCTGGATTCCATGCAGTCTTAGCAACAGTCAGCTGACGCTTGCATTGCATTGTGCTCGTATTACAGTTTACCTTGTACGTTGCATTGTACCAAGTGGGTGTTTGTGCATTCTTCGCCTTTCCCCCCTCCCAACCATTCCTTGGGGATTTTTTATTGGATTAACTTATTTTTTTTTTATTAGTATTTACTAATTATTATTTTACTTTTCTGCTGAGATTCCCATTTCAGTGTGACTTGTGCCTGTGTTCTCTGCCGTTGTGGGGGCTCATGGCTGAGTTGCAAGCAGTGCCTGCCATGTGGGTGGTCTTACATCATGGGGCGGGGTTACAGGGCGAGTTTTGGGTTTGTTTTCCCTGGGCACCTAACCTCCACTTGCAACGAATGTTGTTCACTGCAAATAACAGTCTCACCGTAGTTACTGGACCATTAACTATGACCTCACCTTGCAAAATAATCAAACCATGAAGGAAGAGAAAGGGATTTACATAGTGAAAAGTGAATTATTTCCTTATACTATTCTTTTCCCTTACAGTTTGATCAATTAAAAGGCAAGATTGTGTACTACTGCACTGTCCTAGCAAGAAGATAACAGGGCAATGATCAAAATGTTATACTGACAGTGATTGTAAGAGTGTAAAAATAAAGCAGAACTGTTCTTTGGAACAGAAAACCTATTGGTGACTGCACAAGGATTTTGAAACACTTTTAATTTTTTAGATGAGGATGAATGATTAGCATACTTGAATTCTAGTGAGAAGGAAAGTTAGCATGTAGCTAGCCCTCCAATGCAGATTTGATAAATTTAATCCTGCAGAAGCTGTAATTAACTGGTTTAACCTCTTTCTTACCTCTTCTTGAGTCAGATTTGAAAAGGCACTGTCCACCATCAAGAAAAGAGTGAAAGGGCCTGCTCCAGCAAGAGCTTGATGCATAAATGAGCCAGTCAACAAATCAATGGCAGTGGTGAGTTGTCCTTTCAGTCCATCAGGACCTTGTAAGTTCAGTTCTTTTACCCTCTGCCACCACAATCAGAACACAAAAAATACAAAATACAAATATAAACGAACAGCGCCATCTCCATTCTAATACCTCCTTCTATTAATAATTATCATGATAAGTATACTCCAGAAAAATTCATTGTAACTTGTCTTATTGAGAAATGCTCAAACAGAACTTTTTAAAAAAAATTTGGTGTGCAGGTACATGTAGTCAAACCAATACATTTTGAATCATTTAAAGATGAATACAATTCTGTCCCTAGGTAGCCTTAAGAAACCAGTAAAAATAAAATCTGGCCATACAGTATGTGATAATTTATGGTGTGGTTTGGCAAAACTAGAGGACTGACTTCTGACCAAATTTATATTTAAAAAACCTGCACCCTTAGTTAATTGAGCTACATCAAGTCACCTTAAAAGGAAGAACATGTTATAACCAGTAAAGAAATTCTCTGCAAACAAATTACTGTGAGATGTACATTTCAAGAAAAACTGACATTGAACAGTTACGTTTCTTGCTCAAGGCTTAATTTAAACGATCACCTGAAGAATGCTCCCATAACAAGTGGTTCCATTTCCCCTGTAGCCATCCTTACAGTTACACCTAAAGTTGGAAACATTACACACTGCTTTATTTATTAATATCCCACTAATAAGACTAGGTGGCTTTGCCCTTTCCACTTTCCTTTACTTACTTTACTGTGCTTATTTTCAACAATAGTGTACATTCATATCGTTAAGTGCAAAAACAAAAATAAAAAAATGAAGAAAACATGCAAAACAAGTTCAAGAATGTAACTTCAATATACATGTACATGTATAAATTTGGTATGCCACCTATTTTTTTTCACACAAAATGCTCAAAACAGAAATCTTATTACAGTTACCAACCTCTTTACGCCTGGTCCTTCCATTGTACAGTTTGCATTCATGTCACATCCACCACTGTTTTTACAGAGATCAATCAGTGCACACCCAGCATCACTGGTATAATTTTCAAATCCAGAAAGACAGCTACAGTTACTCTGCAAAATAAAATTAAAAAAACACATTTTTATTAATACTAAATCAGCTACAGTGAGACCTCATGAAGCATTCCATATTTAACATGTTAGCGATCCCCGTTGAGTATCAGATTGGATGTTATCTTGTGCAGTAAATACTAAAATTCAAAACTGAGAAAGAACCAATCATAGAAGCTACACATGGCACTGTAGAGTTATTAATCATTAACAATGAAATTAAGGGAATGATCATCAATGATAAAAGAAATAATTAGGACATTGTATACACATGCGATGTATTGCAAATGAGTTGTAAATATTAACTGTATAATTGCAGGTTAATTGCTAGTATGTTGTAAGTACATCATCATGTACTCTGGCCAATTGACCCTTTCCATAAATGTCTGCCAATAATAAATTCTTTTGTAAGTATTAAGTTAAAGGGCATGTAAACCCAAAAATACAAGTTTTTCTTATTCGACGCAAACAGCAACGTAGAAAACGAATTTGGCATTTATTTTGCTCATTTAGGATTCGTTAAGGAGAAAAACAGCTTTTACGAGAAAAAATCCACTTCCGGTGAAAACAATAGCCATCTGTCGTGACGTAAGCGGTGGAACACAAACATTGCGTAATAGGCATTCCATATGAGAATTCTATGGCGGATCAGGAAAGTGGGAGTAGCTCGGAGGATCTTTTATCGGATGACAGCGATTCAAATTTGGTGAATTTGTATGATAGTGATGTAGAAAATTCAGTTGTAGCTGTGGAACAATCTGGGCCTCGTCTGTATCAATCTGACCCACGAAGGGTCCGACAAAACGATCAACAAGAAGCCAGCCCAGAACCAGATGACAACAACTCAGACCGTCTTGGAAACACAGACTGGTGTTTAATCATT